CGAATAACAAGTCGCCTAGCTGAACAGTACGGAGAATCTTTCCATAGACTGGTGCTGTTCCTCCGGTAGCTGTTCGAAGGATGTATTTGTTAGAAGTCTCTTTCTTCAGATTGGGTACCAAATCAGATCTTAAAATCATTTTGGTTGTTCCGGTGTCGACTGTAATTACGCATTCTCGTTGATCAACTTTTCCGTTCAGCCATAGGTCGTTTCGATTTCGATGTAGTCTGGAAACGTTAATTACGGTACTGGGGGCGTCAATTCCATTAGCCAACCTCTGCCCCACAAAGTTGGCTCTTATTAGTTTTTCGCCCCTTCGTTAGAAGGGGCCGATCGTGATACAAGATCATCTTCTCTTCTTTTGCGCCATCTTGTCGCGCAATTTTGGCAGTAGTTATCTTCTAGGCGGTGTTTACAATCACGACGTAGATGGCCTTTTTCACCACAAACCCAGCATTGGGGTACACCATGCTGTTGATGTTCGTGTTTCACAACCACCTTCTGGCAAGGGCATTCTTCATGAATTTGGCGTAGACGTACGTCACTTTTTGATGCCTGCTGTGCCGATTCAAAAGTGAGATTGTGCGCAACGGCATCCTTGAGTTTTCGTTTATCTGACAAGAGAAGGGATTGCTTGAGTTCCAAATCACGAAGGGCTTTGATAAACGTATCCAGGGCAGTTTCGTCTCTATGCTCGAGGTCTGATGTCGGATACGACAGCAATGTCAACCGTTCGATATCTTGTGCCAGCTGCTGAATGGATTCACCAGATCGTTGCGTTCTGTTTCTAAGCTGAGACCGATAAATCTGTTTCATGTGTTCTTCACCATAACGTAAATCCAACGCGCTAACAAGAACTTCATTGTTGAAGTGGTTCTCCGCCGGAATCGTCCGAAGAACCTCTGCTGCTGAACCTCGCAGGGCCAGTATCAGTGATGTTGCTCGTTCTTTTCCGTTTCAACAGTTACTAGTTGCCGCTGCTTCGAACTGGGTTTTATAAACGTTCCAGGACATCTCTCCGTCAAATGCTGGTACCTTCAAAGTTCTTCCGGATGCGTGATCTAACGGCATGGCCATTTTTTTGGATTGCTCCAATTCTCGCTTCAATTTGTCTATCTTGTGATCTACCTCAACGGTCTGACGATCAAGTTTCTGCTCGATCATTTCTATTCTTGTTGACTGTTCTTTAATCTGTTCTGCCACTTCCAATTTTACGTGTTTTAGCTGGTCCTTGATCTGTTTTAACTCCTCTGTCTGTCGTTCGGACTGTTCCTTGATCTGTTTTAACTCCTCTGTCTGTCGTTCGGACTGTCGTTCGGACTGTTTTTTGATCTGTTTCAACTCCTCTGTCGTTCGGACTGTTCCTTGATCTGTTCGGACTGTTCCTTGATCTGTTGTTTTAACTCTACTGTCTGTCGTTCGGACTGTTCTTTGATCTGTTTTAACTCCTCTGTCTGTCGTTCTGACTGTTGTTTTATTTCAGTTGACATACTAAGCAAAAGTTCCATCATTTTAGCGGTTGTAAACGTGCCTGTAAACTTTTTCATTGTTTTCGTCAGCACCATCAAACTTGAATTCGTCTAGGTTCTTACCTTCGTCAATGAGAGCTTCTCAGACGTGCTACAAGTACTTCTTTGTTGCCACTTGTAACAAGGCTTTGTTTCTGTAGTTCTTCTCGTAGCTGAACTACGTTCAAACCACACAGTTTTGACATCTTTTTTTTCCATGAGTAATAATTCGCTGGTCGAAGATCCCACTTCTGACACCAATGTTATAATACTCGCTGTCGTAACCGATTTACGATGCGACGGGTTCAAATCTTCGATTGAATAAAATACTCCAAACAGTTATTCGTTATTAAACTTTATTTACAGAAGAAATCAACTAATCGTTTATTTCTAGCAAATTCAAATTAACGCAACAATTAACTTTTAACTTGTTTAAAATCTATCGCTATGACAACGTCAACAATCAAATCAAATATCGCTTTAAATAATTCACCGAATCGCTATTCACGAAATCACAAAATCACGAATTTCACTAATCGCTAATCTTCTTGCAACGTGCGCTTATATACTCTTCGCAAGCGTCGTTTCTAGAATGCTCCAGTCACTAGAACATTCTAGAATACGCTAGAATCTAGTGCGTTCGGTAGCACGGTTATAACAGTATTTACAAATCAATTTGTGTGAATGAAGGAAATATCGTGTCTGTTTAGGCCAGCCAGAAAGACCTCGTGTATTAAGCTCATAAAATACGAACTATCTTCTTTTTTTTGTTTCCATTGGCCTTGTTAACGTTGGAAAAAACTCCATAAAATATAACTATGTAATACTTTTAAAATACCTTTCCGATTTTTATATTTTTGTTTCGTACTAAAAATGATTACAATTTCAATAAATAAAATTTAAAAGACTACCTATTATTAAATAAGCATAACTAGACAACCGCAGACGATTCTTGTTTATTTACGTGTGTATGTTTATGTGTGTGTGTGTGTGTGTGTGTGTGGGTGTGTGTGTGTGTGTGTGTGTGTGTGTGTGTGTTTTTTCATGTTTCTCAATGGTTATATTTTTTGAAATTACAAAAAGTTGCTTGTGAACTTATCAAATTATCATTTTCAATATTATGACAAAATTAATCAACACCTATGACAATCATCATCTTTGGCATCATCATCTTCGTCATCTTCATCATCATCATATGTTTCATCACAACCATCATCTTCATCCTCATCAGTCACAACCATCATCATCATTGTCAGCGTCACCATCACAATTTTTATTGCAGGCATAACCATGACATTGCTTATTACTTCTTTTGTTTGCTAAGAATGCACTCAAAAACTGCATTGAGACATGACAAATAAGACATTAACTAAACATAGATGACATCAACTAAACATAGATGACAATAATTAAACATTAGTGACAATAACAACCCAACATAGATGATAGTGATAAGATAATCTCAATTCAGAAATGGAACTACAAAAGAAATGACTAAACAAAAACATTAAATGACATTAATAAACGTGACAAAAATTACATTAATAAATCTTCAATAGTTCACAATCTTTCACACAAAGACATAACTGGAATTTAATTAAACCTTAGTCAGCCTTGGTCGAGTTTTCCATTTTTATAATTATAATTTGTCAAAAAAAATTTTAATTTAAATAAATAAACAATTAAGAAAAGGTCAAATTCCTTAAAAATTGGTTTCATCTTTTTTGCAATTTTATCTTTTTTAAAATTTTGAATATTTGTTTCTGTTTTCATTAATTTACATTTAATAACAAATTTATAACTTGTTAACTTTTAAACAGTTCAAACAAGTACAAAGACCACTATTCATTCCTGAAGGACTCCAAATTCCTAAGAGACCTGGAAAACGACAGCGTGGATTCAGATCTGCTGGATGATGAGTTGAATGCCTTGGAACATCTGCCTATAAGGTTCGCCTCTGTCCGTAGGCCTTTAGTGATCAAATCATTGTTTTTATTATTAAACAATTTTTATTCATATTTTGAGAATTAATAAATTAAAAAGTTTATCAAGAGCCAGGTGCGTATAAAGCAAAGTTGTGCACGCATAAAAATGTGTATGATTCTTGACTCGTGTAGATTAGGTGTACAGTTTTTGTGAGAAAAAATTTATTTCAACAAGTATGAAAGTAGACTGTTTTAGCCAAAGCTGTATAAGAAAAAAATACCATTTTATTAGTAAGTTAATTCAACAAAATGACATCAAGAACTTGAATAGAGATCAACCACAAAACAGCAACAACATTTAAACACTCATCTAATCAACAAAACAATCAAACAACATACCAAATCAAAACAAATTATTTTGAAACGTAGCAAGAGAGAAAAAGTAGTAAAGTTTCTACAGAGCAATCCCATGCAGATCCTCTTGTGTGTCATCGTTTTGTTAGATGCTGGCATCGTCATCGCTCAAATTCTCCTAGATCTCAATTCCGTGAAAGGTTGGAAGTGGGAGTGGGTTGGCATGTTTTTTGCCGCTGATGTGAACTGTGTCTGTTTCATAAACAATAATTATGTTGATGCCATTTTTAATGATGTTGTGTGGATGTTTTGTGAACGGTTAATATTTTTCGTTGCAAAAATAATGGGTGATTAAATAAAAAAACAATGTATTTGCATGAAAACTACTGAAACATGTTTTCAATCAAAATATTATCTCAAGTGAAGCATTGCAAATATAAATTGTATTAATGAGTTTGGTGTGAGTGTTGTTGAAGGTATGAAAGAAAAAAATTAATTTTGATACATCGGACAGCCAAACGCATCTTATAAAACAAACATTGACCGAAAAAATTGAAGAAGCATAGAGGAAATTGCTTTTTGTTCAGAGCAAACAAATAAATGTTTCCGAATGTTTGATCCTGTAGCGTAAAATTATGTTTAACATATTATTACTACCATTTACGTATTCACGCACATGTTTTCTCAACTGAAATTTTGTATTAATCCTACTTGAAATCTTTTAATAGGTTAGTTTTAAAAATCGATGCTCGCCATAATAAAATGTACAAATTGTTATAAATGGAAATGAAAATTTTAAGGTTATTAATTGGAAAAAACAACACTTTCTTACATTTTTTATTCAAAGAAAATGAGCAAAGTGCCACCATAAAAAAAAGTGCAAACACGCTGATAAACTTCACACTTGAGTCTTCTGACAAAATTTTATATCTTCTGCAGAGAAAAGAAGTTTAAACTTTTTTACATTTTGTTTTTGCTAAATCTTTTTAAGAGCCGCCTTGAAGAAATGGCGATGAAAATACAACCATGGTTGATTGCAATGACCAAAATAAATTAAATCACTACGTTAATTTTGACTGCTTCAGAAATTAAAATTATTCATTCCAATAGTAAAATTGCACAAGCGGGAAAGTCAATTGAAGGGCCTGGTGAACTTCATCCGACGGAATCATCCCGACAAGTTGGGCCACTACCACGGCCACAACATCGACCGGATACTTCACATCATCAAGGAAGATGGCGATAACAACTACTCCGAGCAGCACTTCCAGCATGCAGACCACCCACAACTGCATCTCACCAACGTTAACTTTTACAGTCCAAACCATCACACCAACCTCTTCACGACGAAAATCCCCTTCCGAACTTTTCCACTCCGCTTGCAAAAATCAGGCAGCAGTGCAGGCACAACCCACGCCACAACTGCCACCATCTTCATGAACGACAACGATCACAACTTTGAACATTTCATAAACGCCAAAAATTCACATGAATTGAACAAAAGGCAGAGTATTTTTACAAAAATTTCAATCAGTAATGCCGATTATGAATTCGTGCCGGCCATTCGAGATGACCTCTCGTACAGTTACAATGAATTTCAACGGGCGGCTTCTAATAACATTCTCAATGATGGTCAGCAACATTCAGATAATTTCAACAAAAATACGACTGAAGAAATCACTAACAAAGGCAATAACGAGAACCATGATGATGATGATGATGATGATGATGATGATGAGGATGATGATGGTGATCAGTTTGCAGACATGGACGATGGCTATGATGAGGATGATAATAATGATGTTTATACAAATGACATAATTAATAATAAAACTGCTGCTAAAAACGTTAGTGATGGGGGAACTCGGCTGATATTCATTCCACCTCAAAACCGTCCATCTAGTGGTTCTTCGTCGACAACTTTGAATCCAAACCAGCACCATTATTTATCATCAACGATACGGCCATCCTCATTATCATCATCAGCTTTATCAATAGTCCCCTCAACTTCATCCTCATCAGCAGCAGCAGCGTCTTTATCATCTTCACCGTCCTCACAGTTATTTAACTTATCAAAAAATTTTACGACGCTCTCAACCTCTAATGTTTCAACAACGACACCAACAAAACCTGCAAAAAATGTATCAACAACATTAACAACAACAACATTAACAACATCAACAACATCAAAAACAACAGCAACTACAGCAGCAACTACAGCAGCATCTACAGTTTTTTCATCGCTAATCTATTCTTCCAATTTTTCAAAACTCGCAATCTCATCAACTCAAAAGCCATCTTTCACGTTATCGGCATCATCAAAACAAACATCCTCATCGTCGTCGTCGTCATCACCATTTTCGTTTTCATCGTCATCATCGTTTATTAAGACAATAACAACAACTTCAGCATCAACAAATGAGCTACACATGCAAAGTTCACATGTGAGCAAACTATTGCAAACCCTCACATCAACAAATAGTGAAACACAAGGAACAAAAACAATACTAAACCAGTCACTATACAGCTCATCATCTTCATCACCTTCCTCATCTTCATCCTCATCATCATCGTCCTCTTCATCACCATCACCATTCCTGTTGACGTCAACATCATCAATTATAGTTTCACTCACGCAGGCTCCGATAATATTTGAAAAACTTTCCATCAAACATCATGAGGAGGACGACGATAACAAAATGATGCGAGACAACAACATCGACAACACAGACAACAACAACAACACCAACAACAATGCCACCAACCTCAAAAGCAACAACGACAACAACCAGACGAGCCAGCAGCACAATCCCAGAGCAGACTTGCAACAGAAACAACAACAACAACAGCAGCAGCAACACCTTGCAACGAACAACAACTACAACCATTATCATTACGATGATGATGAGGAAGAAGATGATGGGGAAGATACCCTGAGGAAAGTAGCGCACGGACTACACTACGCCAGCATTGGCTTGCTTGGATTTCTTGTAATTGAGGTGACAAACACTTTCACAATGTCTTTCTTTGCCACTACAAATCAATAAAATTTTTAAATTAAACACTCAATTGCAGTAGTATATAAATTATCATTTTTTTTTATGTTTCGAGAACATTTTATTTTTTATTGCGTCTTTTATGATAGCATACAATAGATATGGATACACTTGCAGTTGAATTCGGTTACTGCATCACAGAATGTGTGATCTAAATATTTTGTAACGAAGGTTCTGTTACTTTTGAAAATTTTTTATCGTCGTTAGTGTCAGCTATTTAGATTGATATTGTTTTATTGTTATTGTTGTTGTGGTAGTGGTTAATTTGTTGTTGTTGGTGATAATGTTGTTCGGTTTTGTTGTTGGGGCGGTGGTTAATTTGTTGTTGTTGTTAATGATGTTGTTGTTGTTTGTTGTTGTTGCTTTTGTTGTTGTTCCTGCTGTTGTCTTTGTTGTTGTCGTCGTCGTTTTCCTTGTTAATTTGTTGTTGTTTAATTGACATTGTTGTTGCTACAGTGCTGTAGTTTGCAGCTGCTGTGGAAATTGAAGTATCGACTGTTTAGGTGAGTTCACTGAATATTGTTCCTCGGAGGGTGCTTGCCTGTGTCTACAAAAATTATTATTACGCTGTTGTCTACGTTGTCTATGTCAATCTGTTGTAAATTCTCATTCTTTGTTTACGGTTCTTCTGAAATAAGTACGCTGAACAATTTGCTGATTTGTTGGTGTGATGGTGTTGAATCTTTTAAAGGACTAGAGGTGAAATGAAATGAACTGAAATGAATCAGAATAACAAAACAACAACTCAATAATGTTAAACAACAACTGTAGTACTAATAGTAGTAGTAGCAGTAGTAAAAGCATAGCAGCATTAGTAGTAGCAGCAGCAGCAGGAGTAGCAGTAGCAGTAACAACAACAACAGCCTCAGCAACAACAACATTGGAAAATTTCTAACGTTGAAAAGGTTCTGCGTTTGAATTCAAGACATCAATGAAGATGGATGGATGGCTGGTTTATATATAGTTGCATACTCTTCACGAGGCGAGCTACAGTTGTTCATTTCTCTTAATACGCCATTCTTTACATTTATATTTATTTATTCGTTTGTACATTTTTTTAAATCTTTCATTTTTAAGTGAAGAAAAGAATTAAAATATATAACAATGAATAAGTAGATAAATAAGTGTACACATATCTTCAACTTAAATAGTGTAAGCATGTGTATGTGTGTGTAGGTGTTTATTTTGTGCGTGCTAGCAATTTTGATGCTTGCAGTTATATCTAATTGAAAAGAAAAACAAAACAAATAATAAATCAGACGCAGAATTAAAATTAACATCAATAGCATAATAAAACATTTAAAACAAAAACAAAAGATAAAAACGCTGATTTTGTTTCTATAGATATTGGTATATAATTCTCTTTGATGCGTGTCGAGATGTGTTAATAAAAGAAGATGGGTGCTTTCTTGTGTTTGTGAGTTCCCTGCCATAACAACGTGTCTAAAAATAAACCCTATTGCATTACATATTCCAACTCTGTCTTCTCTTCATACTGCATACTTGCCTGTGAAAATAATAATTTCTAGGATAATAATTGATTTGTTAATAAGCGCTCAGAGACAACTGCGACGGCGACAGCAACTGCGACGGCAATCGCAACCGCATCAGCGACGACGAAGATGATAAAAAAATAATTTTTTATTATAAAAAATAATGTTCTTCTTGTTATTAATTCCTAATTTTTAATATAGTTTTATTATTTTCATTATTATAATTATTAATTTAATTGACGTTTTCATTGTACATCAAATTTTAGAAAATTCTCTTATTAAAAATGTTTCCAGCGAGAGAATAAAATTCTAGGAATAACAATTACAAAGCCGTTTAACATCATTTTAACTGACGATCTTCCACATAACATAAGCATAAAGCCAACATTATCACATAACTAAATCATCATTCGTATATCATCTCGTCGTTTTGTATCATTATTTCATCATCGTTAGCGACATCAACTGCATATTTGTGTACCTTTTTAAACACCGTTGTGACGTATCGACAATTTATTACATCATTGCATTACCGCCACTTCTTTAGGTCGTCACATTACACATCATCACATCTTTCTCTCTGTTTTTCTTTCTCTTTCTTTTTTTTCTCTCTATCTCTACCTATTTCTCTTTACAATTTGTATATTTCATTTCTATCTATGTCTTTTTTATACGAAATTAAAAAAAATTTTTGTTCTTATAAACTCACAAAAACTCAATAAAAATCATGCATATTTTGTAATTTATTTAATAACGCAAGCGTGCATCACATTCTTACTACATCTCGTTGTAAGACCCTTCACTGTGCCCACTATCAACATCCTTCTCTTCTTTCATTGTTCATTTCCATTCTTTGCTCATTCTGTTTTCCATCTTTTGGCTTTCTATGTTTATATTTCTTCTATTCTTTTTTTATTTTCCACTATGTTATTTTCCTTTTTTTTCACTTTCGTCTACTTCACCATTTTTTTCATCATCCATTTTTTTCACTTTTTTTGGTTTCATCGCCGTGCTCTTCAAAATTCTCATCCATTTCCTCATCCTTTCCCTCTTCATCTTTCTTTTCGTCTTTCTCTTTGTATTTCTCATCATCTCCCTCTACCTCTCCTTCTCCATCTTCCTCTCCGTCTTCCATTCCACTCGGCATCTTACCCATGTAAGCAACTTCAATCAGAGGGAGAGCATGACATTTCATTATTTATAAAGCATTTTTGATTGATTGGTAATCACACGCAATATAAGCACCGAAAACTTAATGTCTAAGTTTTATGTTGTTGTTGTTGCTGCTGCTGATGTTGATGCTATTGATGTCGTTGCTGAGGGAGTTTTTGTTGTTGCTGCAATTAGTTGATGTCATTGCGTTGTTTTCCAAATTTAGTTAACACTTTTATTGTGGTTGCAGTTTTTTTTTGATATTTTGATAATTCTACCTTTTCTATATTATTATTATTACTGTTGTTGGTTTCTTCCATTTGTGAAGTTAATTAACCTTTCCTTTTTGTGTTATGAGGAAAAATGATTTTAAGACGATAAAAAACGCTGTTGACTGAAACCTTTTTCGCTTTTTATAATCTTTAAAATCACATCTGCAATGAGATTGAAAACGAATGTAGACAAATTTTTACGAGACTGTTTCGAAAACGAAACCTTTATTTGGTTAAAACATCAACCTATTTTAATTACACATTCGTCCATTCATTCGTTAGTTCATTCATCAACATACTCAGCTATTGAATTATTATTTAATCTGTTTCAGCATTTACTATGTCTTTTCCATATCGCCAATTTTTTCTTTTTTTCATAATATTTTGTTGTAGTTGCAGTTTTTTGTTGTTTTATAGTACCGGATCTTCATTAATTAGATCCTAGCTGTGTTTGTGTTCTAAATATTACGTAACACGAAAACATCTGACAGGCGGTAGGTAGGCATGATAGTTTATTTTGTTACCTCGTTATTCATACATGTAAGATCTTCGCTTGTGTTTAAATTGGTTTATTAGAAGTGTATTCGTGTGATGAACACATGCAACATAAAACGAATTAATTAACAAATTTAAAAAAATTCAAAATTAATACAATAAGATCAAAGAACAGAAACAATAACAAATAATTATTTAAAAAGAAGCATTTTTTTTACATTCCAAGCTTTGTGGATTTGTGTAAATTGTTAGCCTGATTGGCAGCCGTCAAAACAGCCGTACATTACGGACTTCCTTAATTTACTTTATTACTGACTAAAAAAATAAACTCAATATAATGGATTACTTATCTATTATTTATCTATCTAATTTTTGTCTTTCCTCTATATTTATGTAACAGCGAACAATATCATCAGAAAACTCCATCTGTTTGATCTTATAAATAATTTTGAAAAAAAAAACTTGCCATTTTTGCCAATCATCGTCATCATTGTCATTATCACAAACATTTTCATCTTCATGATGTTCTAGACGGACTACCTCATTGCATGTCACAGCGTGGGAACTCCCACCTAACCACTTCAAATAAAACAAACGACAGCTTTGAAAGGTTTAAAACCATTAAATAAAAATGGCTGACTGACTTGTCCGACTAGGAAGCTCTTTCAATAACCAAACAAAAAATGCCTGTGCTTGATTTAGTTTGACGCCAGTTGTATAACCAACTGCAATGTCTGTTTGTCTGTTGGTCTGTACAAGTTATTTTCGGTGCAAGGCATGTTTTATACATTTGCCGTGAATGAAAAATAAAGAATTAAAGTTAATTTAATTGACCTCTACAAAGATTTCTAAATTAATTTTAAAACGCGTTTGTTAATAACAAGTAAAATCAAACTTGACAAGTGGAATAAATGTGAAAATACTGAAAAACAAAAAACTATTCATTCTTCAGAAACGGTTATTTCAAAATCATGACGCTAGTAACTTCTGCACGTTTTTCACTGTCACAAAAATGTTCAGCCTCAATAATATTTTACGTCTTTTGAGATTTGGAATACTTTGTTGGGACATTTACAATTTTGACCTACAAACAACCGCCTAAGCCCGAAGTAACATCAACTCAAAATACTGACAGTCAGTCGTTAGGATGGCCGTTATGATGTTGTATGTGCATGTGTGTATGTTTCTCTCTCTTTCTCTCTCTCTTTTTCTGTAAGTGTGTGTGCTGTGTGTGCTGTGTGTGTGTGTGTGTGTGTGTGTGTGTGTGTGTGTGTGTGTGTGTGTGTGTGTTGTGATGATGTTGTGTCTGTGTGATGGTAGGTTGCTGTGCAAATTCTGTCATATATATATATATATATATATATATATATATATATATATATATATATATATAGTCATGGAATCAGGCACTAGCTCAAACGAGCATTTGACGTGCACACATATGTACACTGAAGAGTAGTATTAACAAAAATGTTAAAGCAAATAAACATACGTCCGCAAAAAAAGAAAAGAAAAAAAAACAAATTAGATTTTACTAACAACATGAAGAAAAAACATTTGACGAAAGGGCGAGAGATTT